AGACTTGGGCACCTGCTTCTCCATGTTCTGTAACTTTGGGTCAATTACTCAAAGACTGAGGCTCGGTTTTGTCATCTGGAAAATGGGCTGAGGGATAGTTGGGATAGGGTTGTTGGTGTAGTTAAGGGAGGTACTGTATCTAAGACATGCACCCTGGGGCCTGGCACGTTCTGGGTGCCCAATAAACGATATTTATTGTTATTATTCAGTATTTTCAGTCTAATGTTTTGAAGCATCCTACTGTAAAAGTGTGTATGTTTAAATCTACATTCACAGCATGGCCTCCAGCAGAGGCTTTGAGAGAGGAGAGAGGAGGTAGAGGTTGGAGTCCAGAATGGTCTGGCGAGGCCAGGGAGAGGGAGAGGGAGGATAGTCATCCTGGCCAGACCTACCAGTCCCCCAGGCGTTGGCTGGAACTGAAGAGCATTTAGTAATAACTGAGAAAAAGGCCAAACTTTCTGAAGCATTAATGAAGACGAACTCTGATGTGGAAACCTAATATATAAACTGGGCTGCTCTGGTGGATGTGGGATGTGGTCCTAGGGGTCCCCAGAATGAGCCAGGAACATTGTAGCTTAGGGGAGTTAAGCAACGCATCCACAGTGACCCACAGGGACATATCAAGCCCTCCCTTGTCACATGGCTTTTTGTCCCCACATGAGGGGAGTGGGACTCTCCTAAGGGCAGAACGGGAGACAAACTGGCGTAGGGTGAGCACGCACTTCCCACTTTCCCACCTCGGGCTGCCCCCGAGGACACAGGCCAGCCAGGTCCAACATAGGAGGCCCCGAGGGACTGTGTGGCCCCTGCCTGACTGGCACTGACCCAGCCAGAACCTGGTGGCCACATGGGCTCCTTCCCGGGCTCTGGACACAGGGCAGCCACCTGCTGAGCCAATGAAGGCGTGCACACACTGGGCTACACGAATACCTCAAGTATCCATGAGGACCTGAAGCGGGGAGTGAAGCCCCTCTGCTCCTAGGCCCCTCAAGACTCATCTTTTCCTGCTCCCCAAGCCTCCTCCTGCCTTTCCCGCCCTGTGACTCGGTGACCAGAGCAGAAACAAGGATGTGGGGCTTACTGATCTCTTCTCTGGCACCCAGTGGGAACACAGGCTCTGGACTCCGGAAAGCACCTCCTGACAAAGCCTTCACAACAGACCCCTTGCTCCCGCCTCCCTCCAGGGCTTGCACCCCAGGCTCCGCCTTGTATCTGCACCAGCCCAGAGGGCTTTCCTGTCCCAGCTGCCTGGAGCTTAGCTCTGTAGTGAATGACCATTCTCAAATGGCAGCGGGGCACTGGAAGTGCTCAGGGTCTGCGGTTCCCTGTGTGGTTATTTGGATTCTGGTGTAGGGAGGCCTCTCTGGGGAGGTGACTTTTAGGCAAGGACCTGCAGAAAGAGAAGAAACTGGTGTCCCAGGGACATGGGGCAAGTGGAGCTCACTCTAGGACTTGAGAGAAGAGAGAGGAGGTAGAAGGTGGAGTCTAGGATGCTGTGGAGAGACCAGGGAGAGGGAGAAGGAGAAGGACAGTCAGCCTGGCCAGACCTGATGGTGCCCCAGGTGTTGGCTGGAGAAGAGAGGAGTTTGGAGGCGCTCACAGTAAAGAAACAATGCAGTTCAAGGGCATGGAGATGCGGACTCCCTAGAGCTGATCACTACTCAATGTATATGAATCAAAACACCACATTATACATTATACTGATATCTATGTCAATCAACAACTTTAAAAGGATATAATAATAATAATAATACTAAAGGACACTGGTGACCTACTAGAGACGGTGTTGGGATGGGTGCAGGCAGAGGCTATTCCATATCCAAGCAGGACCCCAACTCCTTCCAAAGTGAGGGCCCAGAGGAAGGTGTGCCCCTGTCCTGGGCAGCTGCTGTGGGCAAAGTGGAGTGCCCCATGGGGCTGTGAGGCTTGAAGGGTGACAACCAAGTTCTTCTCCTCTCTGAACCTGCAGGACCCAGTCCAGGCCTGGCACTGGGAGCCAAGCTGGCAGAGTTCAAATGTGTTCAATCTGGGAGGGTGTGCTTTGGGGTGACGCCAGCAGAGGCAGAGGGATAAAGCCAGAGCAAGTCTCATATCTGCTGCTACCTTGCTGGGTGGCCATTTGTCTCTGAGCCTGCAGGCTGGCGTGAACCTGTAATGCATCCAGTAAAGGATCACAGGAATAAGGCTTCCTTGTATCTGGGCACAGGGCATTTGCCCTGTGGCTCCAGAAGCATCAGGAGGTTGGGAGGCTCTGGTGGCAGGGATTTGCCTGCACCCCCTCTATCCTCAGTGAACAAGAAGAGTCTGATGTCCATGCTCTGACCCATCCTGGCTGCTCCACTCCTGAGAAACTAGGGATAGAAGCATTGTTACAGGGAGCCTGGGAGACCCATGTGAGGTGCCTCTACCACAAAGCAGCGTGTGGGATGCCAAGCAACAGCCAACTCTAAGTCCACACCACCTGGCCCTTGGGATGTGGGTTGCAGGGTGGGAGGAGAGGAGGCCAGGACTGACAAGCAGGTTCAGGGTGGGGGAGAGCGGGAGCATTGCTGTGTGGCTATGACTGCCTGAGACCCTGGTTCCTGGGCTGGACTCCTAGGTGTCAGGGCCACCCCAGCTGCCCTGAGACTGCCCTGGATGCAGTGGGGCAGGAATGCACAGGGTCAGGATGGGCCTGGGGCTTGACCTTGGCTCCCAGAATTCCCTGCATAGCCCAGGATCAGAGCATCTTCCTAGGGCAAAGAGCTCAGCCTTATCTGTACCCATTTTCCCAGGGCCTATGACCACCAGCTTCTTAGGCTGAGGGCCCCACACAGGGCTCAACACTCATCCATCTTCAGCATGTAGAATATGGAAGTAACATACGCTATACCAATGCGTCCAGCTCGGGAAGTGTTTCCTGTGCATCTACCATGTGGCCCCCATTCCTCAGAAGCCATCTTGGGAACTTCAGAGAGGTAGCTGTCTGGGTCTAGGTAAAAATGAAGCCCTACTAAAACTAAGTGTTTACCAGACACTAGCTAGTCCTATCAAATTGATGGCTTCTTTGACCTGTTAACTTGGGCACTCTCTATGTGTCTAGCAGGTCTGAAGTCAAGGGTTCTGTGGCTCAGACAGTGTCATGTGTGAGTTGAAGCCTTTCATTCTGGGCTCAGTGTCTTGTGCTATGGGGACACCCAAGTCCAAGAGGAATGGAGCAGCTGCTGAGACCACTGATCTTAGCGAATACTTGGAAAGGATATTATGATTATTATGATTCTGTACACACGTACAGCCAAGGGGGCACAACCTACTTTCCCACATGTACCAAACTTGCTGCAGAGGAGAATGGAACGCAATACAAGGTCAAGACAGGAAGTGTGAGTCTCTAACAGATCTGTGCCTAGCTGGGCAGCACCAGACCACCTGCTGCTCCCAACCCTCCTCTCTCTTTTCCTGCCAGGACAGCTCCTCATGGGAGGCACCAAGAGGGCTGACTGGCAGTGCTCTTGGGACACAGCTCACACACATGCACATCTCCCAGGACTCAGGACCTCTGTTAGTGTGATTCAACACCTGGGCCTGTTTGGAACCAGTGTAGGGTCTCATCTCCCAGAATTCCCAGACACTGAATGAATTCTAGCTGTGACTGCAGACTCACTCTGCGATCTTGGGCAACCCTTCCCCTTCTCTGGCCCTCAGTGCTGTGGTCTGTAAAATGGGAAGGATGGTTTGTATGCTCCCTCAGGTGCCTTTCTGCTTTAACATGCAGTTTCCTAATTACCCCTGCCCAGAAGGGTAGATTTCAGGTTTAATTAAGATTTATTCAGATCCCACTAAAATGTACTGTGAGCATCCCTTCATATAAAACATTTAACTCAGTATTATCAGAATCCTCAGAAGTTATTATCATTTTGTAGATCACAAAACAGATCCAGAGAAGTTGAGCGTGTTAACTGAAGTCACACAGTCTAGAGGTAGTACAGCTTCAGTCTCCAGGCCTATCTGTCTTCGCATCCAGGGCCCTGGGAGCAGACAATGTGAATCTACACACACCTGGCTCAGCTCCACCTCCCTCCCTGCTGGTCCAGGAACTCCACTGGGTAATGGATGAGGTGTGGAGGGCCTCTGGCTGGGGCAGACACCAGGGCCTTTGGGCTGGAGAAGAGCAGGTTACCAGGGCAGACAGTCAAATCTCTGCTGATCCTTTAGGCTGGGCTGGGGCTCTGAGCTTAAGAAGCTGCCTGCTCTTTGCCTCCAGGGTCCCTGCCTCCTTCGTTGGTCATTCCCAGAGACCCATTCCCAAACATTCCTGTGCACACCCCCCAGCCCCAGAACCATCTCCTAGCGCCCAGGGGCTGAGGGCTAGGAGAGAAGAGGCTTGCTGGGCAGGCTGAGCTCGGATGTCTGTCCTAATGAGGAACGAGACTTCCAGAGATGCTTTATTCCAGCCAGTTTGGTGCAGCTGCGGCTTCTGAAAACCTCTGATCCTGAGGGCAACTGAATGTATCTCTCTGGACCTCAGTGTCCTCGACTGCTTGGGCCGTGTGGATGTCAAGTCCCTCCTGGTGGTGGTGACATTTGAGGAGCCGTTATCATTACTTTCCCCTAGGCAGCAGGAACCAGATGCCTTTGGAGACAGGGAGGGCTCCCCCCACCTCCCAGGCCGCGCGCGTCCAGGGCCCGGGGCCCTGCGGCTGGGGACTGGATCACAGCGCAGTGATCAGCTGGGCGGGCGGGCCGGCGGGGAGGAGCACGGTGTCCACGGCTCAGCCCCGCGCCCGGGTGGCCTTCGGAGCCGGCTCTGCCGTTCGCCCAGGCGCAGAGGCCGCTACACTGAGCGCCATCCGGGCAGCGCTGGCTCAGACGCTCAGACCAGGGTGACACCGCCCGGCCGGGAACAGCGCGGGGCCCCCTCTAGTCCGGACGCGGGTACGGGGTCCTCGCTCGGGTACCGCCCCGCCGCCGAGCTCGGCCCCGTCCCTCCCCGCCGCGCACCCCTTCCCGTCCGCAGCCCTCACCTGCTTCTCCAGCGGCTCTTTGGCCGAGGGTGCCGGCTTGGGTGAGGGCGCGCGGTCGCACACGCAGCCCTCCAGCAGGTACAGCCCCGAGGGCCGTGAGCTCGAGTCGCTCTCGAAGTAGAAGAGCAGGTTCTGAAGCAGCGCGAACCACTTGGTCTGCCATTTCGTGTTGTCGGCGCTCCGTTTGCTCAGGTAGCCCTTGCGCGTGCCGTCCTTGCGCGCCAGCAGCCCCAGGGAAGCGACGTGGCCGTCGTTGAGCCGGATGCCCTTCTGCATGGTGCTCGCAGGCCGCGGCCAGCGCTCACGTCCTCTCCCTGCGCGGCCCCGCAGCTGGTCCGCGCGCCCGAGCTCCGCCCCCGCGTCTACACTCGCGGTCTGCTCCTAGATCCGCCGGTTCCGCAGCGCCGGGGCCGCAGAGGCCGCCGCCCTGCCCGGCTCGCCGAGGGCGGGCGGAGCCAGGTGACGCTGCCCGTGAAGCCGGTCCTGCGCGGTAGGGACGCGCGCGCGCTCGTCTGGCCGCCCCCGCCGCCCTTTCCCAGGGTGTTCAGAGCGAACCGGATCGGTTTCATCGAACCCGGGCACCTGGGGCCTGTGTCGGGAGCCCGGGCTGTGCGCCCCCTGCGGCGCGGCGCAATGCGGACCCAGGGTCAAGTCCTGCTCGGCATTTTCTCCTCCAGCGTCCCCGCCCTCCAGCCCTGTATTTTCCTAATCCCAGGTGGATGGCGAGATGGATTCCTCGGGGCCTCCGCTCCGGCCCCTTCGCGCGGCCTCCCAGGGCAGGGACGCGGAGCGGGATACGGGTGGGGGTTATTTTACTTTTATTTCCAGCGGTACCGTAATTCCCGGCGCCACCCAAGCGCCCCGAGGTCCGGCTGGAGAGTTTTCTCAGATGCCCCCGAGCCTGAAGGCGGAACCTAGGGAGCCTTCAATAGCTGCGCGGGCGCAGTGATACCTTAATGATAGATTTTCCGTGCTTATTTTTAGCTCCCATTCGCCTACACAGTTACTCGGCATTTATCCGAGAACGTCACAGCACCCGCACGCTGCACCCAGAGGCGCAGGCCGGTGCGGATCGGGGAGCGCGCGCCGCGTCTGCCGCAGAGTGAAGGGAGCAGAGCGCAGCGTCTGGCGGAGCCGGAGCCAGAGATTTCGGCCCGGCCGGGGGCAGCCCGAAGAAGAGGCCGGACACCCTACCCCGACACGCGCGCGCACACCTCCTGGGTCTGAAGTGCTGGGCAAGGGACTGGGGCAGGTCAGGAGGATCCGCACAGAGGCTCCGCTGGGCGCTGAGGAGTGAAGGAGGAGTGGCTGGTCCCATTCCTGGGCCCAATGGGCCAGACCTGTGTTTCACAGTAATGTTAATTTTCCCTCACAAATAATGAAACAGGGCACATGGCTAAGCCACTTCCCAAAGACTTGATTTTCCCAAGAGGGACCCCATGGGGTGATCAACTTTCCTTCCTCTTTTCTTTTTGGTACCGGGGATCGCACTCAGGACCTTGAGTTTACGAGGCGCGGCGGCGGCGGCGGCGGCGGCGGCTGCACCACTGAGCTAAATCCCCAGCCCCTTTCCTTCCTCTTTGATCTCCTGATGGAAGGATGATTTAGCAACTGAGTTGTTGACCTGGGTGCCTCCTGTGAACCCCCATTAGGCAGCGAGTTACCCAGCCCAAGGTGACTTCCGGGGAGGGCCCTCTCCCATCTGCACAGGTGCACTGGGACCTGGCCAAATGACCCCCGGGTTGCAGTGAGTTTCCCTGGTTTTACAGAAAGGGATGGGAGAGGGCCTCCCAGGTGCACCAAGACCAAGGTTGGGCTTGGATGGAGGCTTGGGGCACGGACTTGGGCTGCAGTCACACCTTCTCCAGCCATTTTAGCGCTCAGTGACCTGTGGCAGAACCAGGGGTCATCCAAAGACTTACTCAGTCGTCCTGGAGCATTTCCAGCAAGGCTGCAGGTCACACTGGAAGATTTACAACACTCAGGAAACAGAAAAGGATGGGATTCACCCCTTCTCTCCCTCCCTCCCTCCCCTCCCACCCAGCCCATTCTGCTGACTTGGCCATGGATGCAGCCATGAGCACATCTCCTGCCTCGTGGCGCCTAGGCCAGCCCCAGGTCTCCTTCTCCCTTTGCCCTTGGTGTTGTGAGAGGAAACGCCCTCCCCCCTGTCTGGGGAAGAGATTCTGATAGAGGCAAAGATCAGGAAAGCTGGACAGACTCCAGAGGGTTGCACAGCTGGTGCAATCAAAAGAGATGGAGAGAGCTTTAAAAAAGCCTCTGTGTTCATGTTGCACCCTCAGCCAGTGGTACCAGAACCACGGAGGCTGGACCTGGGCATCCTACTGTGAATGCTGCCTGAGGGATGCCAAGATGCAGCCAGGATCAAGGAAAACCTCCTCACCCTGCCCGCCACACCCTGAGGAGGCCAAGGGCCCTGCTTTTGCTGTCCTTGGAGTTGTAGGAAGGCCTGGGTCCAGGTCACTCCAGAGGCTGGGCTTGGCTCAGAGCCTCCATGTCAGGGAGACACATGGGGGCTGGGCCCTGATCACTCCACCTGAGGGGTCTCCAGTGTCTACAGGGAACCATTTCCTTGGATGCCAGACAGTTTAGAGCCCTTGGGCACATCCAGCTACCACATGCACTGAGCACCAGGCCTGAGTCCTCTTCCATGTTGGGGAAGGGTGGAGAGGACATCCACAGGAGTACTCGAAGGGCATCGAGGCTTTGCTTGGTTTTGTCATGTCTTCCCAATAAGGCTTTTGGACAAAGGTTAATAACCCCATTTCATATGGAGAAACTGAGGCCCAGATAGTATGTGGAGTCTTACAGAGAAAAGCTGAGCCTACTTGTCCAGGGCTTGGGCTGGGGTCTTTGTAGATAAGGAACCAACAAAGTAAATTAAGAAATATTCTGAACTTAGAAATAATGAACTGATGACCAGACATCATCTTCCCATGTCTTCGTGAGAAATTTCTGTTAGAATTTGGGCTGGAGCCCAACTTAACATTTATTATTGAGATAGATGTTCTGTGCCTTGGACTGCACTTAGGCCATGGTTGGGGAAAGAGGGAGAAAGAGAGGGGAGAGTGGAAATTGGAGAGGGGAGAGGGGGAGTGGAGACAGGAGACAGGAGAGGGGAGAGAGAGCATGTGCAGGAGAGACAGGATGTGTGTGGTGCCGGGGATCAAACTAGGGCCTTATGTATGCTAGGGAAGTGCTCTACCTCTAAGCTACATTCCTACCTTTTCATTTTTAAAATTTCAACACAGTCTCACTCAGGCTAGACCCAAACTTGTGATACTCTTGTATCAGCCTGTATAAAATACATGCTCTCTCAATCTCTTTCTCTTTACTTTATAGTATGTGGGGAAAGTTTTTCATATTACTACATTTTTTTTCACTGAGGCATGGTCTTGCTATGTAGTCCAGGCTGGCCTTGAACTCACTCTGTAGCCCAGGCTGGCCTTGAGTTTGCAGTGATCCTCCTGCCTTAGCCTCCTGAGTGCTGGGATTACAGGCATGCACCACCATACCCAGCTATACTGTATTACTACAGATTTAATTTATTAATTGATTCTTTGTGATTGGCCATTTAGGTTGTTTCAATTCATAGATTTTGGAAATAATGCTGCAATTAATATTTTTGTATATATCCTTTCCAACCTTAGCCTGAATTCTCCAAAGTGCCATTTCTGGGCTCAAGGGCTATATGTGCATTTTAGACACTACTACACACTACTTGATTTCTAGACAGCTCTTACTCTATACATCGCCACCAACTAGAGATAAGACAATTTCTCCATCCACTTCTCAAACCTAGATATTGCTATTACCTGTCTCAAATATTTGTCCATTTTTGAAGGGGCAAAAAAAAAATACCATCTTATACAAATTTTCATTTACAAATTAATTTTATTTCATTAATTTAAAAACATCTAGTCATTTAAATCTGTTCCAGTTGAATGTTTTGATTTATATTAATTAAAAAATTTGCAAATGTGTTTATATATTTTTCTTGCAGATTCATCAGTATTTTATATATCAGGTGTATAACCATTAACAGTCATCTGTGATGGGAATAATTTCCAGTTTGTTGCTTATCTCTTTTTTTCAACTGTGGCAAAATATACAAAACATTTACATGTGAGATATTTCTAAGTGTACAGGTCAGTGGTATTAAATACATTAATAAAGTTGAGCAACCACCACAATCATCTGTCTCTAGAACTTTTTTATCTTGTAAAATTGAAACTTTGCATCCATTAAACAATAACTTCCTGGGCCAGAGATTTAGCTCAGTGGTTCTACTGCTTGCCCTGCAAGTGCAAGGACCAGAGTTCGATCCCCAGTACCAAAAAGCAAACAAACAAACAAACCAGAAAAACACAATAGCTTCCTGGGCTGGGGATTTAGCTCAGTGGTTCCGCCACCTGCGTCGCAAATGCAAGGTCCTGAGTTTTATCCCAAGTACCAACAAAACAAAACAAAACACACAAAAGAACCAAAAACAACAACAAAAAAGAAAAAACAATAACTTTCCGTTCCCCCATCCACTGGCTCTGGCAGCAGCCATTCTACTTTCTGTGTCTGTGATTTTGACTACTGTAGATGTCTCATGTAAGTGGAATCCTCCAGTATTTGTCTTTTTGTGATTGGCTTCTGTCGCTTTATTGCTTGTCTTTTAATTCTATGCCACTATATCTACATATTGTGTATGTCTTAATATAGCTTGTAACACATTTTAAAATTTGAGTGTAGATGCATCTTTTTCTTCCTGGTTTTAGACATGCTCTCTTGTGCCAATGCCTTCAAGATTGAAACATGTTTGCCCATATTTTCTCTTCTTTTTTTTTTTTTGTAGTTTCATTTTTCCCATTCACAATTTTAATTCATTTGGAACTTATCTTTTAAGAAAGAAATGAGATTAGAGTCTGGTTTTATTATTAATTTTTCTCCCATGACTAGCAAGTTGTCTCAACTCCACTTGTTTGAATAATTCAAATTCTACCACTGATGTGAAGTAGCATTTCTCTCATATAAATTTTTTTCTACACTTAGTACTATTTCTAGACTCTACTCTTTGTTGCATTGTTCCATACACCTGTACTTAGTGGCATATGATTTTATTTCTATTGCTTTTTGTTTTAGTTACTTTTCTTGTTGCTGGAACAAAATAACCAGAACTCCCAAGTTAAAGGAGGAAAGATTTACTTTGGCTCACACTGTATAGAGGTTTCAGTTCGTAGTTGACTGGCTCCAAGGCAGGGCGTCATGGCAGAGGGGCATCACAGAGGAGAAACAGTCCATAGCAGAGCAGGCAGGAGGCAGCAAGCCACGAGCCTGCCTTCTCTCTGTTCCTTTATATTCCATCCAGGGTACAAGCCTATTGATTGGGGCCACTCACACCCAGGGTGGGACTTCCATTATGCATACTGAGAACTGTACTAAACCAGTTTAG